TTTCTCACCGTGGCGCACGTATTACCGTGAAAATTTCATCAGGACGGAGCCTCGCGGAACGCTAACTACTCTGTTTCCGGTTAATTATTCCGGCTCGGCTAATCCAGATTGTGGCAAGTGTTGCGCTTACTGCACGGGCACTGAACAAACGAGCGTCGCGAATTGCTCGCGTTCGATATGTCGTCGAGTGCACTGGAACGAACGAAAAAAAAGAAAGAAAAGAGAGGAGAGACCTCGCGGCAGAGGAGGAAGGAAATTAAAACACCCAACAACGAGCACGTCAACGTAGAATCTCATTTTTTCCAGTTAATCATCCCTGTTAAAAAAGTCCGACGCGGGGAACAATCTGTTTCGCTGTAAATTGCCTCGAAATCTCGCGTGCGGCGGAAGAATCGCCATTAAATACGACGCGTCATTGTCCTCGGTGCGTGGTAACAGACATCGGCGTGGCTGCGACAACGTGGCCAACGTACATAAATTACAAATTATGCGGAAGAGATAAAGGTGACTGAGCACAGTGCCGGGCTCCTATATAGATGTAATCCATGTAGAACCGCGCGTGTACACATACAGGTATTATGTACATACATATGTATGAAGGATGCACCGGACGCTGCAAAGATGGGAGAGTTCGCGTTTTACCACCGTTTATCTCATCTGTCTTCGTTACTCCCGTTTCTTTGATCTACCACCTCCCGGTTAAAACGTCTAAACGAGCAAAAATCAAGGTCCACCGCGCGTTTAATACGGTGTTTCACACACCGGACGCTGCAAAGATGGGAGAGTTCGCGTTTTACCACCGTTTATCTCATCTGTCTTCGTTACTCGTTCTTTGATCTACCACCCCCCGGTTAAAACGTCTAAACGAGCAAAAATCAAGGTCCACCGCGCGTTTAATACGGTGTTTCACGAGGAGAACTCGCGGACTTGAACTTTCCTCCTCTCCACATGGCGAATTTAATCCGCTCTAGCGCACGTCCTTTGTGTTTCACCCTTCAAATTGCTCGGCGGACCGAAGGAGAGGCTGTGCCTGGGTCAGTTCTGACCCGTAATAATTATGCGGCTTCTAATCGCTCTAACGTAAAATAGCGACTTCCATCGCGTGTCAATTGATGAAATTCGATCGTTACGTACTCGGGTCAGAGTTGACCCGGGCACCGGCCAGCGAGGGTTGAGCCGATGCGCGACGTTCGTGTGGTTTTTAAAAGCATCGGTTAATTATTAGAGCGGATGTATTTTATATTTCTCCGAGCGATGTGGGAATGGTTTAAAGCTGGTTAAAAACTAAGCGTGCAGTATTGATTGTGCGAGGATCGTGGAAGAAAGTTAATAATGGCGAACGAGGAAACCGGAAAAAGGTCGTTCTTGTTAAACGCTACACCTTTCCGGGGAAAAAACGTTGATTAAAATGCTAGCCGGTTGACGCAGCTAGACGTAGCGGGAATAACTTAGAACGTTACTGCAAAGGAATACGGAAAAGGAAAATGTACGCCGGTGTTCTGGAGAAGAAAAACGAATTTGCAATTTAACGAAGGTTCAAATTTTTTGAAGGTTAATAAGCAGTGCTGTTGTCGTTGATGTGATTTAGCGCGATATTACTCGAGTAGTACAGGAGAAAATAAGCCGAACAACATGGTTAACGAGCCTTCAGTTCGTAGAATTGGAATTTTTATTAATTAAATAATAGCGCCGCTGCAATTAGAGCGAATTAGAAATTCCTTTTCCTCGAAAGCGTCACGCTCGAGTATAATCGACTACGGCGCAGACTTACCTTTATTAAAAGTGCCAGAAAATCTCTAGGGAGTCTTTTGCAGCGAATGATACAAATGGAAAAGAGAGAGAGAGAGAGAAAAAAAAGAAACTAAGAATATCCCTATAGACATTTCTCGTGACTTAACGGCACTCGTCGCGTTAATAATTTACGAGGATAAATGTACGATTATGATAAAAGAACGTTGGATCAAACGACTGGGTTATTTTAAAAGTACTATATTTATTATCCGTCTGACGTATCATTTCAGCAGACACTTCGTTTTATATACAAATGTGTACACTCTGTACATTCTGTTCTATACGGTAAACGTTAACCACGTAACCTGTACAGAAGCGAGAACTTTTAGTTCGATTACTAAATAACCGCTAGATTCCTGACAGCTTTACAATTGTATCTGTTTACAACGGTTTACAGTTAACACGCATCTGGTTCGCAACATTTTCCTCCTCCATTTTCATTTATCAACTCTGTTCATTTGCCACGCTCGATCGTTCGATATTTAATTGACTAATTTTAATTATTTACCTGGTAGCAAGATGGTCGACGCACGCTAGCCTAGAAATTTCTCGTTTCTTCGCACGAAGCATCTGCGTGTGTGCGCGTATTCCTTTTTGTCGTTTGGTACGATCGATCGACGAATTAACGCACGATGAAAAGCAACGAATCGATTAACCAGTGTGAGAAACGTGCGTGTACGATCGTATTTTCCGAAAATATACCGAATATACGTTGATCGTACAAAGATAAATTCGCTATAACGTGATCGTGGGGGCCGGGAAATTATGCGAGACACCGTTTGGAAATATCGCGGAGAAACTGGCAAACAAACTTTTTCGCTCGCTCGCTCGTCGAGACGAACTTGTACGTTGACAGCGTGACGATCGATCTTACAGATCGATAAGTATCGTACAACTCGACTCGGACGTGCATACGAGCTGGAACGCGTCACTAATACGTAAATGCACTATTTCGACTCTCTTATTTTCGTTCTGGTGCGCGATAAACATGTCTCATCCTCGACTATCAGTGGAAACACCGTGGAAAAATAGTTTGCCTAATATCGTAGTAAATACATATCCCATACTCGTACGCTTTGGTATACGATAATCGAACCGTGACATCGATACCGCGTGTAAAAAAATGGTTAGGCTATGTTCAACCTGAACGTCGTCGTTCGTTAAGCGAGTGACGTGTACACTAATGAGGAGTAGTCTACTTACTCGTTGGCCAAAGTAACCCGCCTTCTCTTTTCCCCTCACCTGCTCTCAACCACTCGACACAACTTATTCTTCTAAACTCACTTCACTTTTGTTTTTACCTAACCGCGTAAACGCCTGTAACGCGATCACTTCGAAACGACATTTAAGACTAACGCTCGTCGCCAATGCGCCATCTGCGAACGCCCGGTATAACTATCGCCAGTACGAAATGTGTCTCGGTTTCGATATGTTTGCGTTTTTTGTGCGGTTCGACTCTCCTCGTGTGAAAAAACGTTTGTGTGTTTATCCTACGAACACGGGTTTCGGATCACAGAGTGTAGTTCGCGACGTGTGCCTTCGTTAGCCGGTTCCAACGATTTCGTGCTATTTAAGAAGAACGCAGCGAAAACGATTTCGTTCACGGTGAGTCTTTCGTCTGTACTTCGCGTCAACCGTTACACGGTATTGGCGGGAAAGCGAGAGTCGTTATTTCCACGACTCTCGTTTACCTCTTCGTAAAGGAAAAATATACGGTGCGTAGTTTATCAACCACGTTTCGTTTCGGCGCAATTATTCAAGGTGACCTAGTGACCGTGATACCTCGTAAAACAGTGCGATTCTCTATGAGAAAATAAATCGAACGTATGGTTATATAAGCGTTTGCTTTCGACAGCGGCCATCTTGGATATCTATTTCGGTACGCGTCGATTTGTAAACACGAACGTCCTGACGTGTTTTTTTGTCTCTCCTATTCCCACTTACTCTTTCACCAAGAGTCACCTCTGTCTCACAGCTGTATCACGTTCGCTGAAACACCGCTATTCTCACGTATCGTGTAACAATGGAAGAAACGCATCGATATACGAACAGCGAAAGCCATAGTAAACGGTATGTAACGAGAAATCTAACGCAATTGATTACGAATAAATACGATATTGCTTAGCAAAGAACGTCCGATGAAAGCGACAAGGAAGGAAAGTATCGTAAGCTCGTAGTATCGCGATACGAAGAATAATATCACCGTTTTCCCCGCTTACAATGGTCCATGATCCGATCGATCCAACGACGCACGGAAGAAGTGGGCAGCGAGGCGAGCCCTCGCTATTGCAAAGTAAACACTAGAAAGGTATCGTGGCACCGATCTCCAGATCCATCGACCTCTCGGTCATATCGATCGACCGTACGACGCAACGGAAAGCACCTAGAGAGGATCGCGAACCGTCCAACGAGCTCTGTGTGCCCACGGTCCTCCTCGACGGTCGAACGAACCTTCTGGTGGTTCTGTTCGGCCAGGTCCTGTAGAACGGTTCCCGGTTGTAGTGTTTCAAGGCACTCCAGATAACCGAGGATCTCCGCGGCGGTAAATGGGAATGCGACGGACAGCCGCAGTGCTGCCACGCGAGGCTCGGTGTTTTACAACGGAATATCGGTGCTCTGAACGCCTCCGGTGGCCTAAGTATAGGTAGATCGTTGAGTTTTAACGTGAATCTGCCGGTTGGTAAAAGTTCCCTCGAAACCGGAACACCGTCCATTGACTCGGCCCCGTAACGTCCGCTCGACTGTGCGATCGCAACTGCATCGCCGCGTAATGTCCCCGTATTTGTCCCGGTAGACTCCGTACCGGATGGATCGTTGAGCCTCGTTTCGCTGATTTCACCGATATCCCCCTGACAAGGAGTACTCTCTTTTATTTCACCAATTTCCACCGGCCTCGATAACGGAACCTCGTTCCACCTCGTTCCTCCCTCGGATCTCGACGTCTCGAAATCCCCGAGGACGTCGTCCCTCGTAGACTTGTCCAAGGACTCGTAAGTACGGTCCAGTTGGTCCGATCGATCGATCGTATGCGTGGATCAGGAGGACGAGTTCGCTTCTATCGTCGAGCTGGTCGACGCGTCGTCGTCCAAGGAGCTCTGAGTCGCTACAGTCACTTTGTTTCCGTCCGTCCTCGTGGCCAATTGACGATCGGTGACAGTCTGACGGGGATGGCGTCTCTTGTAGGGCTCCCAATCCCCTGGTCCCCGGCGTCAGTGTGTCGCGATCACGTCGGGCGCGCTCTTTGTGCTCTCTATACTGAAAGGTCGCCTCTGATCCACTTCTATCACCGCTTCTGCTCTGTACCTTGGGTCCGGAGTGGTTTGCTGGGGGCACTTTGACGTGCTCGAGTGTTGGGTGCTCGTCGTATTGCCAGATCCGTGGCCGGATCCGTAGATCGAATTGCCGTACCTTTCGCCAGAACCAACTGTACCCTGTCTCAATAATTTCGGCGAGTCACGGTAGGCACTGTTTTCCCTGCTCGGCTTCGGGCTTTGAAACCTCTGATACGACGGATAATCCGGCGGTTCCGGGTAAGGCGAGCCTTGATGCATGCTCAACGGATAGCTGGATTCGTGAGTTGACCAGCCAGGCGGTGCTGGAATAGGGTTGTGTTTAGGACAAATACCCATACTTCCGTCTCTGCCTCTCGACGCTGGACTACAGCCCGAGCATTGAGAACCTTGCTGCTGGGAATGCGTACTTTGTTGAGACGTCTGAGAGCTTTGACGCGACTGAGGTGGACTCTGATGGTGATGCAGATGATGGTGACGATGATGGTGAAGATGATTGGTCCCGTTCTGCGAGCCTTGTCCACGGACACCGAACGTCGTGAATCCCATCACGTTGTCGGGGATTCTCGGCTCGAAGAGGCTCTCCCGCGTCTGACAAGAATTGTCGCGCATCTCTGGCTCGTCGCTCGTCTCTTGCAGGCGTTCCTGAGTCGCGTTGCTGACGTTGTTGCTCTGATGGATGTCGTTCATGTCCCTCGTGTTGTAGGCCATCTCCAGCACCAAGTCTTTCGCGTAGTCTTGGGCTATTAGCGTCGTAGGTGGTAGAAGTTCTTTGCTCGGGATCACTTCGAGACTGGGAGAGCCGCTGCCTCGGTCTCTGATGTCCGTCCTCGAGGAAGAGATTGGACACGGTGTTGCCTTACGACCTAGCTCGTCTAATCGATTTTCCCTCGACTGCCTGATGTGTTCCTGGACAAGACAAATGAATTCTCTCAATTAACCGGTCAAATAACGACGTGTAAATAATGCGTGGCGGTCGCCACTCTCGGTGAATAGCTTTCGAATTGCGCGCAACCTGTTATACGGTACGGTACAAGCGTTGCCGCAATATGTATTACGATACACGCTCGGTACTAGCTCTTTCACCAAACGTAACATTATCAAGTTGCTTCTCTCGTATTTTTTTGTTTTCAACGCTACTCACAGATACCTGTTACTCTTCGTTTCATTTACGAGGACCTTTGCGAGTGACACCGCGGATTGTTAACTTCGAAATGAATAAATAACGCGATGTATGGCACTTGTGAGCCGCGGGATTAAAAATTGCAAGCGCGTGTCTGCGGTTTCATTACGCCGGATACCTTCGCGTTCCTTTACTTTCAAAATTATTCTCTCGACGTTTGGTTAATTTGAAAAATTGAAATCTGCACGGAACAACGGAGCGGAGAAGGTTGCTGATTAGTGCGAAAAACTGACGGATAATACCGTTTGATAAAGGAGATCGAGAGGTAGATTGAGAAAGTTGTAGCGCCGAAACGAAGGAAAAATCAGCGAGGCAGCGGGGTGAAATGTTTGATAACTGTAATTATACGTAGTTACAACATTAATGAGTAAAGTTTTACGAGCTAGCAACCGTTTCCCCTACGCAATTACCGGTTTTTCAAGCCGATCATTCGCTTGTTAATGCCTATTAGCACGTTCGCCTGGCCGTTCGTGGCTCGGCCGGCTTTCAATCCGCCTCGGCGCTGTCGTGAATGGACGAAACGAACCATGGGGCTCATTTTGTATTGTCCCGTATCAATCCTTTCCCGCGCTGCGTGAATGTTAGACACGTATGATCGTACGTGACAAGTTGGAATTGTCGAGTGAATCGAAATCCGGCATTGTTCATCGCGTAATTGAAATTCCAAAACCGTATTACCGAACGCGAATCACGTGTAATGCACAAAGAAGCCCCGGTCGTTTCGCGATTTGTCGATACGTACCTTTTGTCGCGACACAGCGTACGCGATATTTAAGATAAACGTGCTTTCTCGGAGGAAACGCGAAAAGATCGATATCTTCGGAATCGTGGCTCGATGTTCACTGTGAGTGTTTCATTTTGGCTGTTAACACGTTCACCGAAATCACGTGTTTCGCTCAGGACGCCACGAAAGTATTTTTATTATTCTAAGCATATAATGGCAAAATAATAATAAATATGGTTATATAAGACAACATTCTTACCCGTGGGGCGTTTATCTTTCTGGTGGTCACGGGTGACCACTCGACGACACTTGATAACTATTTTGGAATATTTATTTACACCAGGGCCATCAAATATATCTACCCGAAGAAAATGACGAGACGAGATGCAAAAAAAGGAGGGGTCAGGATACCTGGTGCGAAAATTTTCCAAAGAATGTTATGAAAAAAATTTTGCAAGAGTTGGAGACGTATATTGGACTCCTTACAGTTCCGTCCCGGTTTATTGCACCCTTCTCCAGGACCACCCAACTCCTAAGTAGGGAACTGTTGTTTATTTCGGCCAGTGTCCTTTCCGAAGGAAACGGCGCTCCTTCCGCGGTGCCCCTTCCTTCCTCCACCTGCACGCTGATTGGGCAATTTGGGAAAATTCCTAAAACCCAATCAGCATGCTTCAGTGACATCACAACACCATTCTCCTGCGCCCTGAACGCGCGTTACATTGGAGCGGGGGTGGCGATGTCCTGACCTGAGAGTAACTTCCGCCAGGGTCGACTCCGCCGGAGTCTTGACCGTTGCGAATTTCTGTGGCGACCCTTTGGAAGACCCTTTTTCACGGCAAGGCACTTGGCTATTGAGGACGAGAGAAATGAATTTCCAACTCTGGAGTTGTAAACCTAACGTTCTCTCGCCAGGATATTTTTTACTCGACACTCATGCTAACAATAACTAAAATCCTAATCTCAAAAACAGCCTCTTTCCCACGTCCGTGCCATACATCGTTGCGTTCAGCAGCAATTTTTGGAACAAAGATTGCTAAAAATCGGACCAAAAAGGTTACCACATACTGCCCAAATTGTATCGATCAGCCGCATCTACGTTTGAATTGCTTTAATACAATACACCGGTAGATAGAAGATTTGATCAAAATTAATCTCTCATTTTTGATCTTCTAGTAACAATTTTTAATTGTCGAATAGTGCACATTTTATTTCAAAGTATTCTCCAATCAGCGATGATGTTCAAAATTCATTAACTGTCAATGTTCATTCAACTTTTACAATTATAAACATTTGTAACAACCACGGTGGCGCTACAGGAGGAACAATCTGCGGTGACATATGACCACCGTGGCAGTCAACGCGTTAAAGAAAGAAACGGAAACGGTAAAAAGTAAACGAGTCGAAAGAAAGTTCGTTCATCATCGTTAACAGTCTCGGGGATAATGGTTTTTGGTATCGTAACTGAGACACCCTGTACAACATGAAAACGTCGGAATAAATATCTCGCAGCCGTAACTGGCATTTTAACGAGGAACAATAAAAACGTTGAATCGTTGAAACAGCGCCTGTGGATGTCTGTTTTTTTGTTTTGTTTTTGCTACCTTAAAATACCTCGCCGCGAATGTAAAAGCACTCGTAACTTTTGAATCATACATACGATGTCGATTTTCCGGTAGATAAAATAGCTGAACGGAGATTCACTTACCCGAATGATTCGATGATCCCGGACTAGCTTCCTCACGCAGTTGAAGACGAAGGCGAAACTCATGCCGAACATGATCAGCGAGAACACGATCAGGATTATGACGATGTGCTGTGAATCGATCAGCCTCGATTTCTTCTTCTACAATTCAAACACAAGGTAAGAGAGTCCTTTATTTCACGAGGACGTCGTCGTTCGTAAGTTACGTTCGTGTGGAAATTATTGTCGAATTTAAGTTACGTTGGTAAATTTTGGATTGATTAGTGTAGGAACCGACGACGGAAAAATATCGAGAGACCAAAGCCGAGGCTTTGCGCGCTACGATAACCACTCCCTCCCTATTCTCCCGTGTCGGTTTCCTATCTTTGGGTATGGAGGCCCCGATGCTACAAATTATACGACAGTATAATATTTACAATTCTGCCTGAATTTTTGAAATTCATAAAAACACAGGTAAACTTCCATTGCATTTAAACGATATTCTCCAGTACAGTAAATTCTCTACAAGAGTCAGTAAGTTTACTGTCTCGCAACGTAAATTTAACTAAATTAGGTTGAACTGCACAGAAAATGCACAGAACTGCACAAATAATTCATTTCACGATATTATAACAAACAAACGTTGAATACATTTTTGATTCGTGTAAAAAGAATTATTTAACACGATAAATTTAGCTGTACTATGGTTATTTTTAATCTACGACCACAGGTCAACCTGATTTTTAATCCCTACGAAATTAATTTAACCACGAGTAAGTAACGAGAACGCTAAAACCTATGTTTCCATTGAAGAATATTGTAAAAACGTATAAATTGTTATATGCAATGTTATAACAAATTGTCGGAAGTATAAATTTAGAACAAAATTGTGAAAATTGATAAATTATACCGTGTTACGATAACGGAAATCTCCCGCGAAAATCTCCCGCGAAAATTTCCCGCCTGACCTAACCGACGATTTTGCTAATGACTTTGGGGAGAGGGTACCGCAGGTATATAAGGACCCGCCGATGTTCCGCGAACTTATTCACCCTTTATACTGGGCCATAGACACTTCGCGGCGTATTTTGACCTGAAGGTTCTGAGATGTGAATAGAGTGGTCGGGGGCTACTAGCTAGCCTAGGTCCACCCTGTACACACTCAGCCTTCTTGTAACACTTGTATACATTAGAATCAATTAGAATTTCAATACAATAGACTGAATAACAATTCATTTTAACTAATACCTATTAGAAATTTTCCTTCCAAAACAAATATAAATCATTTTACCAATTACTGGTACTTGCTAGACATTTAATATCAGACTTTAAATATTCTCCTTTCGGTTCTCTTAAATACAATCAAATAATTTCTTCAATTATCGATACTGACTTGGAATACTCCGCTTCGAATAAAATATTTCGAAATTATGTTGAAGGTTTAGGGAAATAAACATTTGAATTTTAGTCATCGTTCTTCTTCAGACTTGTCGAATAGGATATTGAAATGACTTTGAGCAATTGAAATTAATTTGAAATTTTTCATATATTTTCTCTGATATTGAATTTATTTTATGACTTGCTATTTTGTTTACTAATAATTTACCATACAAGGAATTTGCATGTATTGCATGTTAAGTAGTTAGTTGATTTATTATTGTATATTGTGAGCTGATTTGGAACGAGTGCACTATGCCCACCCTAAATTAAACCGTCTCAGTAGTTTACCGTAATTAATAATCTATTTTCGGAATTTATACGAGAATTTTTGAATTTTAGTAAATACTAGAGTCAGTGCATCGCGTATTGAAATAATAGCTTCATCCCTAGTTCGTTTATTATTGAATATTTTTACGCGTTTAACTTATGCTTCTCCCCAATTCTCGTCGCGTATTTTATTCAAATTTTCTTATACTCTAGAATCGAGAAAGATATGAATTCGCGTTTTTTCTTTTGATTCTTTCAATTTTTCAATTGCATTACGCATTATTGCAATAATTTCTATCGTTACATTTAATTCTAATTGTTTAGCAGCTTTTCTGCTGCTATCGACCCTACATTTTACTGACACTTGTCGAACCGACCCTACATTTTACTGACACTTGTCGAACCGACCCTACATTTTACTGACACTTGTCGAATCGACCCTACATTTTTTTTTTTTACGTGGAGGTAGGCCGACTCTATGTGATAAACAATTGGCAACCAAACGGTGGCTCTCCCTCTACATTCGACGGATAATGTGTACAGGTATATAATGTAATTTCTTAGCAATTTCTTTTTGTAATTCATCCAAAGCGATATATTATGAAATTAAATTAATCACTCAATAAGTATTAACATTAGATTGTTTCCTCGATATGGCCATGGTGGTCATCAGTGACTGGAGTGCCTCAAATGTTTAGAATAATTAAAATAAAATAAATGTTGTCAACTAAAAATTTTGAACGTCATAGCTAGCTAGACATTATTTTCAATTGAAAAAAAAAATTATAAAGCATAATACTATAATCCTATGCTTAAAATGTATTTTCTTGTGGCCGCCTGACAGCAACCTGTAAATCTGGCGCGACAGTGAACGTGTTAATAAGTAAATGTTGTTCAAATTATATCGTGTTTGATATCATTTTCATCAGAAAAATCTCACCAACATGATGTTAAATAAAATTCCTTTGAAGGTAATAACTTTGAAGGGAAATAAACATTTGAATTTTAGTCATCGTTGTTCTTCAGACTTGTCGAATAGGATATTGAAATGACTTTGAGAGGTTGCTTTTTCGTTACAGCATAA